CTTCAGGCTGCTTGTAACAAGTTCAAAATCCCTGTTTCATATTTAAGAGTGCATTTGTAGATGTAGACAGAGCCTGGTCAGGCGATTTGAATGAGACCAACTTTGCAATAATAAATTGTTCATCTTTATATTGGGGTGAGCGGTATACATGGGTAATTCGATAATTTTTCATAGAATGAATGAATATCGAATAAATCCGAAAAGGAAGAATTTCGAATAAACGAATATCGAATAAATTCGAAAATAAAAAATCTCGAATAAACGATTATCGAATACATTCGAAAAATCAAAAATATCGAATGAATGAATTTCGAATAAATTCGGAAAATCAAAAATATCGAATGAATGAATTTCGAATAAATTCGGAAAATCAAAAATATCGAATGAATGAATTCGAATAAATTCGGAAAATCAAAAATATCGAATGAAGAATTTCGAATATATTCGAACATTGGAAGTCGAATTTCGAATAAATATTTGAATGATTTATCGAATAATTAAAGCAATCACATCTCAAACTTGCCGACTTATCTGGCTAAAGCCGATCCAATCATAATCAGCCTTCTAGTATCCCCTATATCAACTCCTAGCTCAAAATTTTCCAAAAATTGCTTTTAATTAGCACCCTCACTTACCCCTTTGTACCAACTCCCAACCTCATAACTCAAGATTTTCCAAAAATCGATAAAATCGATAAAGTAAATTTTTATCCATAATTAGCACCTTCACTTACCCCTTGTAACAACTCCCACCCCCGCAGCTCAAACTTCTCTAGAAATCGATGAAGTTAGTCGATTGGCACTAGTCTATACATCAGCAAGAAGTCATGTTTCACCCATTCTTCCAGCTTTGTTTCTGTTTGCTTTTACGCGTCCATACCCTGCTTTATGGCAACATGCCGTAGCTGCCGTTTGTGTTTGTGCAGTATAGTAAATTTCTCATCTATTATAGTCTGTTTGAGTGCCAAAATTTTGCGGTAAAAAGCCGGCCGGGAAATCTTGGCACCGCAACACTATATTAAGCGAGAAATCTACTGATCTGAAAAAATGAGGCTCTGATAATCTAGGGGTGTGGCCGCTATCTTATCAGCTTATCTATCTCTTTGCTTAACTTTCATTACTAGATTCAATCCTTATGACCATTGAGCACATTCGTGACAATAAACTTCGAGATCAAACAACTATTTCGTTTCATTTGGGATTTTCTGAGAATTACAGCCAGAAGTCTATGGACGATGTGCACCAGCCATCTTCAAGCGGTCGCGAGCGTCGTGTAAGCGGCTGCACTTCGTGATCCTTGGGCGTTGTGCACCGTACGGGTAAGAACCGCATACACTTTGATCCTGCGGCTTTGTTCGACAGCAGACCTTATTTGTCAAACTTCCACTAGATTTCAAAGGCGTTTAGCAGAGTAAAGATAAAATTGGCTGGAGCTAAAATCTAAAAATGAGAAACATTGCAACTTGGTGTAAGCACCTAATGAGCTGCTCGGATTCATAGCGCTAGGTGTGCCATCTTTTGAAGCAATAAGGTGGCCACATATGTACTTAAATTCCACAAATGCTACGATACATGGCCTGTTCATCGGAGACTTTCGTCTTGTGTGGTATAAGCTAGTCGTGGACGAAGACATGTGGTTTCCTCCGTGAAGCGAGTACGAACGCCCCCCTATAACCCCGGACATACTGCAGGCATTTCAGTGGCGACGTGGTATGGCAACACTCAAATTGTCCAAAACCTAGTCTGGAAGTACAGAATGCAGGGCATTTATCTTTTTAGTATGTTGTACATGCTAAACATTTGTGGTAAGCTGCCATTACATCTGAAGACATTCCTTTACTCAGTATACACCAATTCGCAAAAAACTCCAAGGTAACGAATAGGCAGTTTTGCAATAATTTATGCGAGCAAGAGTGCTCACTAGTGTGAGTATTGCGTACCGCAAGCATGAGCAATGCAAAAAAAGAAGAACAAGCATTTCAAAACACTTTAAATATATGAACTCGGAACATGAGCTTGAATTTGATATCTTCTTTGCTGATTTGGTGTCAATAGCAGTGCGAACAAACTCATTGATCGAAGAAACATCAATTGAAATCCACATATGATTTTTTTACTGTCGCAAGCAGTCGGAAGAATGCGACTTTCCATACAGTTCAAAGGTATACCGGTTACAAAAGATGCATTACCGAATTTTTCGTTTTAAAACGAGGACGAAGTGAGCTTGATATTCAGCAGTTGGCTCTGCAACAAAGAATAATCTCAATACCGAGTACATTCGAATACGAATTCGAATAAACATTCGGATAAAATCTATTCGAAAGCCCGTTTTTGATTATTCGAGTTTTCGAATAATATTCGAAACCTCGTTTTTTGATTATTCGAGTTTTCGAATAATATTCGAAAACCTCGTTTTTTGATTATTCGAGTTTCGAATTTTATTCGAAACCTCGTTTCCTCAATTATTCGAGTTTCGAATATTATTCGAAACCTCGTTTCCTCACTTATTCGAGTTTCGAATATTATTCGAAAATGGAAGAACTCCGAATATCGAATTTCGAATACGAATATATTCGAATGTTTTATTCGAATGATCGAATTTCTATTCGACTTGGACCCAAGTATACTGTGTCAGATTTTTTTTCAACTTTGGATTGACTCATACCGGCGCTTAAAGGCAGTGTCCCGGCAGATTTTGCACCTCCACCTTTTTGCATGTTTTAGGCCTTTTCGCCACGTAGAATTCGAATTTGAGCTTCGAACGGGTTGAAAAGGCCGATTTGGGGGCGTTTTCCTAATTCCAGAAAAGCAGGTTGGACGAGGTTTTTAATGGAAAGTTGGGGGAGGTCCTCAGACGAAGATCCTGCCGCCTGTAATTCTTGCCATGGATAGCATGCATCATGGGGGAGAGCGCTCATGGGGTCCCGCGCCGAACAGGCGGGGAAGGCCGTCCAAGCGCGCGCCAGTTGGGGTTGCGCGCGCGGGTTCAAGGGCCATTTTCTCGGCCCAGGGGGAACATCACCCAGCCGGAGTGCCCCTGGAGGTCGATGGGGTGACCAGGAACCCCACCACACGTATATCCCCCAGGACCCGAACCTGCCGGGACACTACCTTTAGAGGACGCGGTGATCGGAGCCACAGTAGAAGGTTGAAACTTTGGAACATCGAGCAAGCTCTACCTTCAGTTGATTAGAAAGCGATCTTCGCGCGTTTCGTTGGGCAGATCCCATGTTCAACGACGATGTTCCTTTTTCACAAAGTGGAATTTCCATATAATAGTCGCGCGGCGGAAAGAAGCCTAGCGGAGAGAAGCCCCATAGCCTTAAACTGGTCCATCAGCGAAATTCTGATCGTACAACCAATCAAATGATTTGCATTTGCCATGACTGGCTGCTAATCACAAAGTCGCATCTTTCTTGTTGTTCCCAAAATAGCTACCTTTCAGTGGTAGATCGAGTAGTAGCCCCCCCCCTCTTTATCCCTAGAATCGTGAGTTGTAAAGTGGCGCAAGTGACTTGTTTTCGCTCGTGAATAATTTTTTTTAAATTGTAAGAATTCAAATTAGCTGTGCACTTTCTTTCGCTGGAGTGGCTACAGCCCTTCATCCTTTCTGAATGAGGTTGAGGCTCCGCGAAAACTTCGCCAAGTATCCCAAAACGGTTCCGGAAGGCATGGCCAACGCTAATCTCTCGCAAGAATTTGAGAAAGGGTGAGGGATGTAAAACTAAGTTGAAGACAGATCTACTGAATGGTACCTAAAAGTTTCCGGAAGGCATGGCCAACGCTAAACTCTTCATTTCAAAGGTTCTATCCCCCCCCCCCCCCTCCCTTAAAATATTTTCGCAAACCGTCATTGCTACCTTTGTATCCAGGCAAATTTGGGGCATGGCTTAGGCTTTTTTGAATTTATTATCCCCCACCTTCTTCGTATCTTCCATGACTTTGAACTTTGATATGTAAATGCTGATCCTTGACGAAGGCGGTTGCTTTCTTTCGTGAAGCGGGTACGAACGCGGCTTTGCGTGCAGAGGCACGGTCAATTGTACATAATCCTTGAATGCAGTGTCCAGGCTAAATCTAACCTTCTCCAACTGATGCCGTTCCCGAATGTAGGCCCGAGAAGGGCATCTGCGATGATCTGGTCCTATAATGTTGTCTCTAAATGGAGAAAGTGGGCCTGGAAGAGCCAGAGGGCTATCAAGCCCCCCCCCCCCCCAGATCCTGTGAAGCTCCGCCCACCCATGTAGTGAAAACCGTCCGCGCCCTCATGACAGGGTCCCCAGGAATCGGCTTTTTTGGGGGTTTTGGACAATTTATTTCGTAACTGTAATCAGGGCCCCAGAATAGCAAAAACATGGAAGGCGAATTTTTGGGTGGGCACTGCCTTGAAGCACATTTTTTGTATAATACATTCAAGGAGACTTTTTTTTTCTGTAGGTTCGTATGAAATCTTAATCGCTTCTTCCAATGTTCTATGATTTATTGAACATCTCTGAAAACCTTTGGAATGAAACATTGAGAACACATCGCAGGTTGAAAGCTCTAGACGTGAATTGAGATACACGTATCTAGTACTATGTACAAAAGAACAACGCATGAATAAATATAATGATGAACAGTATATGATATTCGTGTACAACGCAGATTTATGAAAAATACTATAATTGTTACCATCGTAGATATTCTAGTCAAAAAATTATTCTGTTGCAATTTGTATACAAGAACAGCGAGAAGATGTAAATAGTCTAATTGTATAGTCAGAAGTTGTTTATCTGATATGTTGAGCTAGTAAACAGAAGCTTGATTACTATCTTGTAGACTACTGAGCAGAGTAAATGACAATCTATTCCTGTCTTCGGAAGCGAAAACAAGGAAAACAAAAATACACATGGATTTTCGAAATTTCAAAGTATTTCCTTGGCACTTTGAATTCTTCTCGGAGCAAATGCTGCTTCACTGGGTGTGTGTGTGGGGGGGGGGGGAAGGACTCATCCAAAACCATTATGTAGAAGTGCGAATTATTTCCAACTCGCATGGACGATGTACTTGTGAGATGAGTTCTTTTCGGAGTTTTTCGATAAACTGAGCCGTGTTCTCTTCATTATCGGAAGCGATCCGTCTTCTCGCCTCTCTCGGTCTCTGCATCGGTCGTTCCGGTCCAGAAGTTCGTCTTATAATGCTTGTGTCAGCCATCGGTTGAACTGATTGCGAACGAGGACGGAAGAAATTCTCGCTTGAATGTGAACGACTCTGTAACAAAAAGGAAATAAAATTTGTTCATATCAGAAAAAAATTTCCATAAGTTTTGTCAGCATATATGCAACAATCAATCGATCCCTGGTCGGGCGCTGTTTCAGTGTCATCAACGAGCGCCCGATCGGGTGTTGGAAGCTTTTTTAAATAAACAGCACCCGATCTCGGAAGGTTGATAGATACCTCCCCAGCAGTAAAGCTACCAGGATTCCTGTTCGGGGGGGGGGGAGGAGGGAATTTTTTTCGAGTGAAGTGAGTTTTCGAGTACGCGTGACTTGCACGCACTCCGAAAAGTTTCTTGGAATGCTTTCAAAGTTTTTGCGGGCCCATTACCGAAGTTTTAGACCTCGAAAAAATGAGTTATAAGGCTTACTTGAATTTCTGAAAAATTTTATAAGTTCAAATCGCTTTCACATTTTTATAACGCATGAAAGCAACTATCAAATATGCGTCCCCTTAATTCTAAGAGCATTGAAGGTTGTACGAATAAGCGGGTTGTGCCAATAGTATATTTTTTGAAGCATTTTACTCCATGTTTAGTTTTATGCAATTATCCAGTCCTACGAGACGTATGCTATATAATTTTCTGACAATCATTGTTTGCAGTGTCATTTGGCTGAACACTATATAATTTCTTCAAAAAATCGTTGCCCTAAGCTTTAGTTAACTATTTGTTAGACCACTACTTTTATTTACAGCCGCAGATCACTAATTTCATAATTCCTCAACATCAAATCCGAGGTGTCTCTCTGTTCTTTGAAGGCTTCTGTTTTGCAATTTTTCTTTCATGTCAGTGTGCAAGAGATCATAGTTTGAACATATTGCGCCACTCACTCGCATGCTATTATTGCTCATGTGGTAAACATTCGTAAATGAAGTCTGTTTACCAGTTATGGATATCCATGAAAGATTAAGGCATCAAACAACACGTTACCTTAAGTGGATTTGTTATTGAAAATCGCAGAGAAAACACTGAAAGCGGATGTGGTTATGTTGTTTGATACCATAATCGCTCTAGGGAAGAAGAACTCTTCTAACAAGAGTTTTAGGAGTGAAGAAGAACATCCTTTTAGTGACTAGCACTCCATCTTCCTTCTAAACTGAGAAAAGGCAAGAGGTTTAGAAAATGAAACTGCTATCAGGAAATCTAATTTCTAGAAACTACCCTTCGATTCAATTGGATTGACGGCTGGAAGGCGGGGCTTCGTGACCTAATTAAGGCTAGGAAATGATTTCACGAGGGAGAGGGCAGACTGCGTCGCGGACGCGAGCAGTCGCCTCGTCAATCTCATTGAATTAAAGGATATGAATTGAATACTCGCGCTTTATCTATGTCCACGGTCAGCCATTTTTTTGGCTGCAACACCTAGCCGTATGGGTGAGTTGTTTGTAACTTGACATGTGTGCCTGCACACTACGCGTGGCAACCGACGACACCTTACTAGTAACTCGTCACGAAAACTTGTCCTAGCGGGACAACTGTGGAAATGTGCATTACTACCTAGTAGATATCAAATGGAACCAAGAAAGAGGTGCAATCGTGGTAAACTCTAACGAAATTAGCAGAAATCCTACAAATCGTGAGGTAGCGCGCGTGGTGTGCAATACGCATATCAAGTTAGAAATGACGCCATTATATGGTCAGAAGTTAACTTCATAATTTTTGATGGAGTTAGACTCGAGGAATTTTTATCATAACCCAAATCTATGGCCCACTGTTTCCTAAATGAGATTTTTCTTCAGTTTCTCGCCAGCAATTCCGGGATTGTTGTGCCAAGCACACTGCAATGAATCCCCAACAAAATGGGTTAACATAGCCCTTACTCCACTTTTGGAAAAGCATTTCACTTCTACTTTTCCTTTCATGAATTGCGAGCAAAACTATTACAGACTAATGTTTTCGAACAACTCACGAATACCTGCTATTCTCAGACCGACTAATTATGGGTTTGCAACGTTGCTAATAATACGCTGCAGATGTAATAATATTGACATCGTGCTTGTTTTGATGTATGGTGATGTTTATGCATATTTGCAGTTGTTGGGAGTCATTACTTGCATAAGTAATGAACAGCACCAATGAACAGCACCAACTCTATACTGAAAAGCTAGCTGCAAATATAAAGTTGTGTGGTTTTTGATTGTAAATAGCCTATGTTAGGACTGATTTTTACTGGGCAATTTGCACTATTTACGAAAACGCAATCTATGAATGGCTTCGTTATTTCATTATTTTCCTTTACGGCTAATTAAGCAGGACATTGTACTTTTGTTTGTTTCGCACGAATTATGAGGTATGGAAGGTATGGACTTGCATACAATAACAGAGATCGGCGGTTGCCATAGTTTCCGTTCACACCAAATACAAAACGCAATAAAGATCTTTACTATTCGCGCTAGGGTACAAATCTCGCGATCCAAGGTGCAGAATCACACTTCTTTAGTACAGTGGTACAAAAATAGTTTATGATAGTCTGAGAAAAAATTTACCTGCTCTCGAGCCAGGGCATGCTTTGGAAGAACCCTAAGAGGTTGAAGGACTGGAGGCGACCGTGGAGGCAGGGATGTCAGGCTGAAATACGAGAAAAATAGATCTCAAAATTTCTTAGAATTCAGGAGAATTTGTGTAATTTCCAACTCTTCAGAAAAATTTTTTCATCGTTCTAGGCCCTTGCTGAGCATACGGAGCTAAATTCTTTTTCTCTCAAAAAAAAGTCCTCGCCAATATCCCTCCTCTTCTGCCGAAAGAAACCTAGGAGCCTAACAGAAATCTTTGCCTTAGAGGAAGGACAAAGTGGAACTCAATAATTCATTTTATCTTCTTAACCCATTGACGACGACGCCTAATTTTGCGTGGCGGCGCTGTGGGACGACGCGATTTTGCACAACAATTGCGGCACGGAAAGTTTTGTGCTTATTTACGAAACGTAAAAATGTTTTTTTTAGTGACTACAGCCATCTTCTTGGACGACGAAGTTTACAGGTTCCAAGAGTACGAAAAACTGGAAAAAGTGCTGAACTCTGGAAAAATTACTGGACCTGGAAATGATATGATTTTGCAAGGGGTGTGGGCCACTGGTGGCTCACATCGTCCGCGGCGACAAAAAGTGCGTGGGCCACCGGTGGTCCACATCGTCGTCAATGGGTTAAGGATAATTTGGAAAGGAAAAGCGTAAAAATCAGTTTTGTGTGCTTACTTCCACTTATCTCTCACTGAATTACACTCTTCCATAATTGATAATGGAATCTATTTAGACAAGAAATTTATTTCTTGGTCAAAAACTTTGCGGTCCACATACTTTTTGTAGAAGAGTGTGTATTTTTATTTGGATGGGTAGCTTGCTCAGAGAACATGAAGCTATTCCCCCCAACTTCAAGAATTGCCCGCACATTCTGCTATGGATTATCCTGTATGATTTATCTAATTGTGAGCGGAAAAGAACAATCTCAGTAATTACCCTCTCTAACATATGACCGCATGTTTATGCTTTTATGGTTGTTTGATTTCTGTCCGTAATTACGTCAACGAAACAACTCTTTCATAGAGTTTAACCCGTCTCGCCATGCATAATCAATCACCAGTTGATTATTTTGAGTTATGGTTTCTGAGAATACAGGGCACTTGGTCTGGGAGTGTGTAAATTATGTTGTATCCCTTGATTGATCCCTATTGTGAGCGGGACGGGGAAATCTTTTCAATTACTTCCACTTGATTACTTCCCACTGCAGCGTTAACAAGGTTTGCAGGTTTGATATCTGGCGAAAGACTAAGGCTAAGAGAACCTGACAAAAAGTTATCTCACTCAAGGAAGATCAAAAAATGTTCCCATAAAAAAATTCGAGGAACTTTTGCTGTGAGACGCCTATCTTAATTTTAAGAAAAAACAACTGAATTTTATACTTCAGTTTTATAAAATATAAAAATGATAGAACCTCAATAAAGATCTCAATAAAGTTAGCTATTAACTACCTTTGCCCCAACTTTTATAGACAAAATTTTTTTGGTCACAATGAAAGCATAAAAATGATAGAACCTCAATAAAGACCTCGATAAAGTTAGCTTTTAACTATTAGGTTGATGCATAATTCCTGCACCAAAATAGGTACAAACCGCAATAACTCGGAATAATCCTACATCCCAAGTAGGATTCGATATACCATTTGATAGAGCAAACCTAGCTCTACAAGATAGTGCTCAAATATCTACACCAGCTTTGATCCACGCGAAGTTTTGAGCCAAAAACTGAAAAAAACCATGCGTCCGAAAACCTTAAGACAGATCTTAAAAAAATTGTAACTTCGTTCAAAAAGCTCATACAAATTTTCTTTCTTGCTCACGCATAGAAGTTCCACGTAAGACATTTATCTATGCGGTTGCTGTATTTTTTCTCAATTAGACGATGAGAAAACGAAGTTTTTTGAAGTTTTTCATGTTTTTGCCAAATTAGTGCTGAGATGTTCTAGTATTAACAGTTGTATACTACATGCCGTTAGCAGTGAAACTTTACATTTTCAGCCTTCTAGAACTGCTAGTTCGCGAGAAATAACGAATCTAGCTCTCCTTATCCAAATTTTTCTTGCCTAGTTGCTAAAAATCCGATATTTCTCGTAAACCAGCTACTCTAAAGAGCTGAAAATTCACATTTACGCTTCTAAGGTCCTATAGTATACAACTGTCAGTGCTAGAACATCTCAGCATTGTTTTGAAAAAAACATGAAAAATTTCGTTTTCTCATCGTCTAATTGAGAAAAAAATACAGCAACCGCATAGATAAATGTCTTACGTGGAACTTCTATGCGTGAGCAAGAAAGAAAATTTGTATGAGCTTTTTGAACGAAGTTACAATTTTTTTAAGATCTGTCTTAAGGTTTTCGGACGCATGGTTTTTTTCAGTTTTTGGCTCAAAACTTCGCGTGGATCAAAGCTGGTGTAGATATTTGAGCACTATCTTGTAGAGCTAAGTTTGCGCTATCAAATGATATATCGAATCCTACTTGGGATATAGGATTATTCCGAGTTATTGCGGTCTGTACCTATATTGGTGCAGGAATTATGCATCAACCTAATACATTTGCCCCAACTTTTACAGAGAAAAAAAAATTTTTTTGATCATAATGTTGCTTTTGTTATCTCACTCTTTGCCATCTTGTAGCCAAAATTCCAGAAACTGTTCGTTAGACTTTCTAATTTTGAGAAAATCATTTTCTTTTTCAATACTTCCTTTCTTTCTCTTTTCTTAGAAATTGCTTCTACAATTGCTAAGAAAATTCTCTTTTAAAGCGCTATATCATTTTGGATATGAATGAGGTAAGAAGAATAACCAAATTTTTTTCATACTATTTATAATCCAAAGTATCTTGTATGCTTTTCTTATTATTTCACAAATCATTTCAAAGCATTTTGAACTCACCTCTGGCGTTTTTCCTCCATTGACAAACGACTTAGTTGCTGCATTGTGCCTTCGTATGAAAAGCTTGGTCCTTCTACTTCTCCAGGTAGACGGAAGGTCATAGGTTCTAGCTGCAAAAGTAATTATGTAGGATGTAGTACGTTCAGCCTAGCGTTTAGATTTTGTAGGAAAAATCTTGACGAATGAGTTATTATAGCATATCATTATGAATTCTAATGCAGGATTAGTACTTACATGGATTGAAGATCGTCTTCTTGGATATGGTAGTACGTCAGTTGCTCCCATTCTAAAAAAAGTTATATTCAATGGTTTTTAGGTGGTGAGCTCACTTCACGGAAAAATTTCGAAATTTTACACTTTGAGGAATTATTCGAGCTGATGTTTTCGAGAACTGGAGAAGGAGGTGGGAAGGGAGAAATAAAAATAATGGGTGCAGATGCACACGTAGATATAACCAGGCAAGCGTTGCCATAGGAGATTTTTCTTATGGCCACCTGTTTTGTAATATTAGAAAAGGCTCAATTTAGAGGCAATCATGTTAAGGACAGTTTTTTTTGGAGAGGAAGCAGAATTGGAGTCACATAACAGAGAATAGAGGTGCTTAGCTTTTTAGCTTTTTACATCAGCGAGATTTGGTTTCGTGTTTATTATTCAGGTATGTCAAAAAATGCAGAAAAATGAATTTCGTAACAGTTTTTTCCCTTGACTGTATGATTAGTATTTTTAGAACTGTTTTTTGATTTCAAAGAAGACCTTGAAGCTCACAAGCAGCGATGAGATTTAGCAGGGATTGTTACATAACGGCTGAGGCAGAAGTAATGTAGCCGTATGACGTTCAATTGCCCTTGTGAAGGGCACTTTTGCCCTTTTATAATGGGGCCAAAGAGATAATGAGGGGTAATTGCGCGAACTTCATGCTTCTATAGAGTGTCATGAGGTATGTGAGCTAGGCTACGTAGTCTGTACTTTTCGTGAAGTACAGGAAGATGTGAAGTAAGGGTGAGATGAGTAAGTTCACCGATTAAGAAGTTAAAGCATAATTCCGGGAAAGAGGAAAAATAAGCAGGGCTAACATTTTTTTGCTTCCAAAATTTTCTTAAAAGGTTTTTATAATAGGCACTTGAAATTCTCTTATCTGGATAAAAGCTGAATTAGCAGAAATAGAATGAGCAGCAGTTTATTCATTCAATCAAATTGCACAATTAACGCTGCCGATGCTTAAAGATTTCTCCAGAAAATTTATTTTTTCTTCTAAGTTGATAAAAACCAAAAAATTCTTCCGCTACACGAACTAGAAAAGAGATAGTCGAATATGAAGCAGGCCTAACTGACCAAAAATGTGTGAGTTCCCCCCCCCCCTTGCAAGCTCACCATGAACCACAAACACATGTTGAGCAAATAAGGAAGGTGAAGCTAGCTATGGGAAGGATGGCGGCGATTGCCGCCGCCCCGCCCATTTCGCTTCCACTGAACGCTCGCTCATTAGACGTAGATGATTATGGGGAATACGTAATCAGCGTGATAATCACATACACATGGGAGTTGGGGGTTATGATTAGATTTAAGAGAACGCTGAATGACTCGGTTGATTCACTGGAATTTTGTGAATCAGACAGGAAATTGACAATGCAGCAATTACTTAAAGTTAGAGCTCACGTGATTTCATTGTGAAAGATGACCAACTACTAACGCGGCGGAAGTAACTCACATAATTCATTGTGAAACAATTATAAAAATGAGTAGGCAACGCCGTATTCATCAGCGAACCCAGTGGCTTCCAGAACCCATTGGGTAGGCTTAACTGACGGGATCGGTATTCACGAAGCTAGAGGGTTCCTGAACCCAGTGGGTTAAGCCTACCCAGTGGATTCCGGAACCCATGAAAAGTCACTTAACCGGTATTATGAACGGAATACCGATCTACCACCGATACCGGAATACCCGATACTTTGTGAATACCGATCTTACCCAGTGGGTTCGCGAACGCAATGGGTTCTGGAACTCAATGGGTTCGTTGATGAATACGGCCACAGAAGGAACCAGTAAGTATACGTCAGCTTTAGCATTTGCAGTTGGCACAAGCAAGTTCCAAAATTTAGGACATCACGTTTCTAATAAACTAGAGCTTTGCATTTTGATAGTTGTGATGAAAGAAATTGGAGACACTTAATCGAACCAATCACCGTTAGCAATTTAACATTTAGGTGCATTGTAGATAGAGATCGATCCCCAAAACTATTTCAGCTTTTGAGAACTGCGTTTTTTTTGACAATGCTGAATAAGAGAAGAAAAAGTTGCATGCTCCTTCTTCCAGAAATCATCAACGTTCATTCACTGTCCGTTTTCTGCCTTTTGGCCTAGGAAACTGAAATCTTGCGTAAAAAATTTGGAAAATGTACTTTTTTCATAATTTTCTGTAATATACCAATTTATGATTTTTCATTACCAAGTCAAAGCAATGAACATAATGGACTATACTTGCAGTCGGCATTTGGAACAACAGCAATAAACTGAAATAAAACAGGGACCTTAATCTCTTATCTTGTTACTATCCTAATCTGGTCTACGTCATTCAAATGCTTGAGAGTAAGAAACTGAGTTCAAAATGTTGAAGACGTAGATGCTGTTCTGAATTCAGTGCATCTATCATCAAGCCAAACATCGCTAGACTTGTCCTAGAATTAGCCGAGTACAAACTATGGTTGGTTGAAATTCAAAATTGTGAGCATTTTGATGATTCTTTATGGATTATTAATGTTAAAAAAGAAATGCTAAGATTTCAATTTATTAAACACTAAAAAATAGCATTTTCTATGCCAGTAGCTTGGGTGGGCTTACAAGATTATCACGTCATGCATTTAGCATTTTTCTTTCTGGAGACGTGAAATTTTTTCAGTTTCAGTTCTCTAGACAGACAATAAATTGTATTTATGCCCCGTGATTGTTTCTCAGCACAAAAGCGCTGACTCCATTCTGTGCTGCAAAACCAACAATTCAGCTTGTCAAAGTTTTTTTCCAGATCTCCAAGGTAGTACATTTTTTTCGGCAAAATGTAGTTAAGGAAACATAAAGGAAGTATAAGATTTGCCCTTAGACACGGAATCTTTGAATTTTTTATTATACTGAATTTTTAATGGTTTCTGTACACACAGCTACAAATAGTAGCAAGCCATAGCGCAATATTATATCATCATCCAGAAATATTTTACCTTGTGAAACAGCATAGGACCGATAATTTTTCTCTGATTAATTGCTATAATGCATTTTTTTGCTACATATTCTGTAGATTTGGTTACGCACCAGGTGAAACGCAAAGCAAGCATTGAATTACTCATTATGATGAGGTAATTTGTTTTCACCAAAATGTTGTGCAATTTCTCATTGCTTCTATCATAATTTACTCATGCGCAGCATTATCAATGCATTGTACACACTACATTGCTTATGATTGAAAATGTAGCGAATGTCACGTCAGAGCAGAATCGTAGCCATTTATGCTATTGCAAAAAAACTACAAAATAATATAATCGCTTTGAAAGCATTTCAAATGGTAGATATTGATCAAAAAAGAACTACGAGAGAAATCTATCAGGAAAAATGCCTTTTGTACTCGTTGAAGGAACTTTTTCATCTTGTACATTTTCATGATTACAACTGTTTTTTTGCGCAGGCATTGTGCAATTTGCGGCTTTTGCGCCTGCATGACTACAAATGTCTGCGTGTCTTATGATAATCTTATCTCTCTGCCATGAGCGTCGACTCGGAACCGCGCCGCGCATCGCGTCGGTACAATTTTTACCCTACCTACATTAGAGAATTATTTATGAGCTCAAATTTTCTATGATTTGGGTTTTTTTTGAAACTAGTGAACACTAATCTAAAGGTGCTATTTGGAAGAGCGTTTGCTTCGGGACCCGCCACAATTTCCCGCTATTAGAAGATTTTTGAATTGACGATTCTTTATATATTAGGTTAGATTTTTCTATTTCTTCAATTTTTTCTAACCTGCAAAGATAGATTTTTGCCTGATAAAGGTTGTTAATTTTTTGTGTTGTGTTCGAGTTTGCAGAATTTTGCAGAATTGCAGAATTTTTATTCTCTTGAGTATGTTTTGCTCAGAAAAAGCAATTAACTTTAAGTTACGTAGCAACGCTTTTGCAAACAGATGTTCGCAGAAAAAGTCTGCTTGTTTAGCATGTGCTACCTATCATACTGTATTGACGTAAGTACAAGCAATCAAGTTGATGCCAAAAAGTCTAGCACCTGATTGTTTTATGATCAGATCGCCTGAAACTAAGATATTAGGAAATCGGCTAGACTATCAAACTCCTTTATTCAACGCAGCTCGTGAAAATTGCATTTACGAGCTTTCCATCTTTCCTTGGTCTTCTGGATGCGCTATGTCCAGGGCTGTGCTTGAAAGGTCGAAAAAATGCTTTTGGAGAGCTGAGAGGGCTGGGCGAGGGATTCCCGCCAGAAACAGCAACTGACTGCAGGATACTGTAAATCCACTCATTTTGGCGGCAATTGGCTGATCGGCTCAGGCAGCGAATCGCGACCAGTTGACGATCGCTCATCCATCCTCTCCAGCAATTTCCAGGGCCGGAAAACGCCGAAAAAACACTTTTCTGACTTTTCAAGCAGTCTCGGATTCAGCGGATCCACCAAGCCATGTAGGTGCGAAAAACTCGCACTCGCAATTTCCCCGAGCCACTGCCTTTAAAGGCATTGTCCAGGTCAATTGGGGGGTGGTGGGATTTGACGCAGTGCGAAAGCACGGCTCCTGACTAATGCAACGGTTCAAATCCGGTCGAAAAAGGTGATTTCTGAAGCAGAAAATAGCTTCGGAAAGTAGCGGAAAAAAGGGGCGATACTCCAATCTCACCTACTTGACAAGTTTTGACATGGCGAACGCTATAAATCTAAAGTATCAACCACAAAAATTAAAGACCAAATCAGGGGCCGTGTTCCCGCAATGCATCGAAATCCCATACCCCCCCCCCCCCCCAATTGACCGACAATGCCTTTAAGCGGTATATCTATTAGGTCGTCCCGAAAGTTCTTGCGCACGATTTTCAAAAATTCATAACTTTAGATTTTTTCAACCGATTGCTGCTTTTATTTTTACGTGGAAGAGTAAGTCATGCTCTTTACAAAGACATCTTATCTGTCTGCTAATGGTCATTTTTTTGCATAGGTAGGAGCGATAGAATAAAATTGGTCAAAAATCGAATTTTCTGTGTAGGGTCATAAAAAATCGGAAACTTGCAACAAAAATCGGAGCA